CAACAAACAGTTTCATATTTCTCAAGATACACAATTATATCAATTCATTGGCCCTCTCATGAAATCCAAACCCAAACTGTTAGCATACCGAAACGTGGTACCCGATCCAATGATTATGCCGGAACGTGGCAATCGATCCCATAATTATGCCGGAACGTGGCAACCGATCCAAGTTAGTGTGTCAGAATACAACACCCGATCCATTCAACAAGCCGCAATCACAATCACAAAGTACATTCTCATAATCATACAATTATCAAGTTTGATTCATGGCATTCATCATTCATATATCCTCATTTACAATTAATGTGATCAATAATGCAACATTCTCATACATACATGTATCATAATGAAGCAAGAACAAACATACATCACACAATCATAGAATCACAACCATTACCTACCTCGAAACAAGCTTGAAACCCTAAGAAATTTGATCATTTTCTTTCCGAATTTGTTCCGCTTGTTCTTGGTCTACAAACAATCAATATAATACGGGAATCAATAAACAATTACTAATTACCTGGATTACTAACAATTCTTACAACCCTAGATCATACCCATAATCCCACTACCCAAATTAGGGTTTTTCCCACCATAATTCTTAGATCAAAAGTCTCCCACATCGATATTTACTCATTAGATTACGTTCTACGGATCGGAAAATGGATTCGGGGAGTTAAAACCTTACCTTTAGCCTTAAAGATGGTGGAAAACTGTCAAGAATCGCCTGGGGTTCGTCTCCTTACTCTCAAAGTCAAAAAATGCAGAATAAAGATGTTTTGGGGTTTATTTTCGACTTAAGTCTCGTCGGGCCCGCCACAGTAGTCCCCACCCCGATATAGCGGCCCCGCCCTGGCGACAGAAATCACCGCCAAAGCGGCTTGCACGAAACATTGAGCTATTTTAATAATTCCAATACCCCCATTTCACAACATGCCTTCAACCAACGACACTCAGAAACTACCCATTCACGCTAAGATCAATTTTGGGAGTTCTACTCACCTGAATTCAATTCCGTAAAGTCGTACGGATTCCTTAACGCCTTATCTATCTACTTATGTGATCAATGTCATAATTAGATCACCCAATTTCTACCAGATTTCCCTAGGCTTTAATGACTCTGATTTCGTCCAAATTTGGACTAGGTTGGAAAATTCCAAGTTACTATGAAAAAGTTTTCCGACCCAAAATTTTTCTCCATTGGCTTTTCTATAACGACGGTACCTGGTCGTTACATTAAGTCATGCTTGAATTGCGTGATTAAACGAATGGGGTAAGTAGTGGTGGCAAATGGGCGGGTTGGGTTAAATTTGGGTGTGTTGAAAATGGGTCAACATAAAATGGGTAATAATTCAACCCTCCCATATTTGATATGGGTAAAAATGGATTGGGTAAAATACTAGTTTACCCATATTTCATGAGTAAATAGTACTCTACTTAAGAATTCAACATGGAAAAAATATTTTAGTCTTTTTTTAGATGAAAAATGTTGAAAATGCTTCATTTAGTTTTATTGTATAATAAAAGTCCAAAAAAACAATCCTAACTTTTCAATATAGAATAAATTTATGTAATAACAAGGGGAAAATATTTTTAATTTCAAAGTAAATGAATAGTTGCATTTTAGGACTAAAACATGCTTAATGCACTTTAAGGCTTAAGCAATGTCAATACTAATACATGATTTGCTTATTTTACACTATTATTTATTATCCAATATAAAATTAAACAAATATAAAATATAATTATAATTAACAAAAGAAATGTACATTTAAAATATATATTTTTGGAGGGCCAAAGACTTCACCTTTTCAATTATAGAGAAAAATAATTAGTTCTATAGAAGAACATAAAAAGGAAGAGAAGTTATAAATTTTCTTAGTGATATCATGAATTTTGAGTGAATAAAAGTTAGAAGCTTAACCCATTTGGCTAATTCATATTCTACCCATAGTTTACCCATATTTTTATGGGTATCAACCCATATTTTACCCATGTAAAAAGTCACCCAACCCATTAAAATAAGGGTGAGTTGAGCGGATTATCAAAACATGGGCTCATTTTGCCGGCACTAGGGTAAGGTATTGAAATATTAGTGGAAATATGGTTGCTTTGTTATAGGCAATGACAAGAAAGTGATTTTAATTTAAAAGGAGCCTTAGGAGTTAGGACCACGGAAAATTGAAAAAACCTATCCAAGGGGCTAATGATTAAAATAAGTGGCCACAATATTAATGCCTAATACCAAAAAGAATGTACAACTTTCAGTGTATGAAAAATTTGATAAATTAACTCTTGAAGTAAAAAGGTCATAATGCTTAAAACCGTCGAAACTCTATGCAAAAAGTTATTGCCATTTCTTCTTTTTTATTGAAATGGTCTGATGGATCTTTGTAGACCAAATCAGAGGCGAATCCAAAATTTGAAAACTCTGGGTGCATCAATATTATCTTAATTTAGCATTATTGAAACTTTCAATAGTCAAGGTGAGTTTGTTCTACTTAATGATCATGAGTTCGAATCCCTTATCTAGCAATTTTAATATTACAAATAAGCCCCCTTTAAATTCTCAACTTAATATAAAAACAGTAAAGTATGGTTCTGGTTTGGTTTGAACCCAAGTCACAAGGGGGGATTCTTTGCTTTGTGTCAGTGGTACAAAGTGTCATTCTATTCTTTTCATGAGTGTACTATTACTTATATTTAATTTTTGCGAGTTTCTCTAGATAAATAAATAAATAAATATATATATATATATATATATATGATATTTTTTTGATGTTGAGTTGAAAAAATATGTGATTACGTGCGCTTAAAAGTGAGTAAATATAATATTTTTTAAATTTAAGTGCTCGTGGAGACGAGCGGATGCTTGACTCACCATGTCTTACCAAAAAAAATTGAATTGAATAGTAACCATGCAACTTACGACGTAAATGTTGTAATGATGTGCTTGGACACTTTCGGATCTTTGAATTGTTTAATGTTAAGTGACTCGAGATTTTAAATGTAAAATATTTGAAATTAGTCTCTTAAAGTGTTTCACACATATGCCTTGTATGGTCACTTTATGTTGATGTCTCTTGATTGAGTTGATATGCCAATTAGTGTTGTTGGTGACCCAAAAGGAAGGGTTGGGCCAATGCAAAATGTTACTACTTCACTTTAAATCTCCAAAAGCTTTGAAGTGACCAAAATGAAGGTTGAGAGTCATTTTTGACACAAGATATTTAAATGTTCACAAGCTTTTAGTGACCTAGAAAAAGATGATGGGGTCATGTGTGTGTAATCTATATTTGATTACTTGTGAGTGCATGATGATGTGTTCGGAGTGGCTCAAATACATTAGCGGCCTACTTAAGACAAATGTAAATGGAAGCGTTAAATTTTATTTTATTTTTAAATGAAGTTTATTTTGTTTGAAATTAGGATATGAAGTTAAAATTTTGTTTCGATATGCAATTTGAATTTTTTAAGTTATAATAGTATTAATTTTTTAATATACATGAAAACCCCACTAGTTGTGAAAACTATCATAATTTCTCCAATTCTTACACGATCTTACCAAATGAAACAAATCATAGCTCATAAACAAAATATCAAAATATTCACCGCATTGATAATAAATCACATTTTTTCATGTTCCTTTTATAAATAAATGCTTGTAATTACAAACTTTAACATATGCATAATTTTGTTTTCTAAAGATTCCCCCGTCAACAATAGTAGTAACTAATTATTCTTTCACATAATATGAACAATCTCTTCATAATCGTTTTTAAAATAAAATAAAATAATATATATATATATATATATATATATGCATCAAATTTTACATTTCAAAAGTTGAAATCCCAGATCATGATTTTTAGAGAATTTGAAATTAAATTTCAAATTATAATTCCAAATTGCATATTCAATAATTAATTTTAAATCATGACTTCATATCGTATGTCCAAACACAAGTTAGACACCATCAAATCTATGTTTGTACTGATGAAATTGTGTGGTGTAGATTGTTGCTCCGCCAGTGGAACCCAAATGATGCTGTTTGTTCTGATTTTCTTATTTTATTTGAATTTTTTTTTTATTTGAAGAAATGACAGAATATTATTTTTATAATTAGTTTTAATTTTCCTAAAGGAAAAATATAAATCTTTCATATTTGACTAATCCTTTGATTCTTTGAGTAAAAGATTTTGGACTCTTATAAACTGAGATTCAGCTTGTCTTCTCACTTTACGTTATACACAATGTACTTTTTTACTGTTGAAGAGTCTTGTTTACGGGGTTGATACTTTTGTACTATTCATTATATTAGCGAATTGCTCATATGTAGATCAATTGATCAAGCCATGTTGAATTGCTGTCTCTTTTAATATGCTTTTTCTTTATTGTCTTATTTATTGCCGTCTAATCTTTGGTCTCTACTTTGTTAGCTTTTGTATGACACTTGGTTATTTTGATCCTAACAATGTGATCACACTTTTTTATAGTATTTTTTACGTAACACGAACTTATTTTTACTACTATGTTTTTGCGCTCGTCATTTAAGCATTCTTGATACATTTTTGAGTTTTGACATGAAGATACACCAAGTATTTTTCATCTTATACAATTGTACTTCAGTATTAATGCTCCATCAATGCTTATTGCACTATAATTTGATATGATTCTACTATGTTATACATGAACATGGAATATATCTTTGTTGCATTCTTGAAACGTGCAATGTTGTCACTTTAAATGTTAGGCGTGCTAACGTAGTGGTATGTATTATTGGTCGATAAACTCTGATATCGTATATCTTCTGACACATGTCATTCATTGATTTGGTGTAAACACCCTATGTTTTTACATTTATTAGAATTGAAGGATGTTATTTTAGAAATACTCCCAAGGGAAAATTTCATTTTGCAGGATTCCTAACTAGGATTGTCCCAATTTTTGTGATAGTAAAAATCAAACAACTAGGAAAAAAGTATAAAAAGAGATAATTGATGCAATCCCAATAGAATAATATTCATTCAGTTTTTGATGTAGATCACAAATCCAAGGGAATTAGAAATAAACCCAAATTCCCCCCACATCCTTCTTTTTTTCACCATATAAAAACACAACATTGGCAATATATTTTTTTTAAAATAGAAAGTAATGGAAAATGTGTATATGTTGTAGTATTACAATTTTTTCAAATGTGTGTTGGAACAAATTAGAAAGAAACAGGGGACGGAGCTGGAGCATCAGCTGCACCTTCCATTGGACCTCCATTGCTCGATAGCTCAGCCATGGCACGGTGTGGGTTAGTCCTCTGTTTGTTGCATAAATCAGGCAAATACACACCTGAACAATCGCGATATCATAAAATTAATTTTGTAACTCAAAAATAACTCAATTGCGCGATGTTTAAAATATTGTTACCTTCACCAGCAGCTAAGTTGAAGTAAAGGTCAATAATGTTGGCACAATGATGGTAACAATCAAGGGAGCAAAGTTTTGAGGTAAATTGAGAATCAAGCAGAGCATCAGAAGAAATTCCAACAGAGTTTCTATCGACGCCACAAGCATCGACACATTCATCTGTCTCAATGTGTTCCCTCATGTTTGCAACAACAACCTCAGATGTCTTGCATTGGTACTCAACTTTCCCATCGTTCCCTGATGAATTTTCCAACAAACACCTTTTGGCTGATGTCGCGATCGCGAATCCACATACATTTGTTGGCAATTCCTCACAGATGAAACTCCCTGAAGATCAACAAACCAAATTAACCATATTTGTACAAATAATTAGGAGATTCAATTGAAACGTTTACATCATGCTATATATTCAAAGAAATAAAAAGACGATGCAAATCTTGGACCCCACATATAACATGAGCTTTAGTGCACCTGACTGTCCTCTTTTTTATACAACTTTATGAAATACATACCTAGAGTGCCTTGGAGAAAAAGGGTGCTAACAAAGAAAAGAATGAAAGATGATCTCATAATATAAGTCATTTCTATTCTTTTTCCTATGTTATATGATAATTTTATTGGGTTGTTAATGTTGATGATGAACTCAAGGAAAAGAATAGATTGAAGAACTAATGGTTCTTGAGATGAAGATTAATGAAGGGGTTACTTGAATATATATAGGGAAATATTAGGAGGAGAAAGAGGAGGAAAATGCGCTATCTACTTTAAATTTTTTTGTTACTTTTTTAGTTAGTTTATTTTTTAATGTATTTTATTTTTGTGGATACTATTGATTTTATTTTTTTAAAAAAGAACTTTCAACTTGTAATAATGTATATTCCTTTCTACATTTTGACGAATTCTATGAAATTGGTATGCACGAAGAGAGGGGGAAGGGTTTTTTGTAGAAGTTAGTGGAGCCCACGCGTTTATATCAGTAATTTATTTAGTTTATAATTTAATTTTATTCCTTATTATTAATTAAATATTGTTTTGTTGATTCTCTTGTTTATTTGTTTGTTGTAAATTTGCTTCTTGCCTTTTAAGTTCTAACAAGCAGTACGTGTTGTATGACTTCATTAGCCATGAAGTACCCATATTTGTTTGCGTGTAGGTATTATTATTATTGCATTTGTAGGTGTTATTGCAGGTCAATCGATTAAAAAATTGGCTACTTAATTGACATTAAGATTTTTTCATATTGGAGAAATATTTACAAAAGTTACTGTAGAACATGTGCAAGTTTCATCTAATAGAAAAAAAATGAAATTTAATGAAGATTTGAATTATCTGACATGTATACACCATTAATATTCCTGTTATTTTTATGTTCTATAGACTTGTAGGAATTGTTGAGAGTGAAGATACTCTGCATGATGTGAATATTAAAAGTGTGACGTTATATGTTTGGGGGCGGTGCACATAGGTAAAAATTAAGGGGTCAGATGAACCTCTTTGGTAGAAAACTATAGACTATATAACTAAGGCTAAAATTATATTTTGTTAATGTATAGTAGATATTGAATCTCTACTTTTTCATATATTTACTCTTTTATATTTTAAAATACTTAACGAAAATTCTACTTCGCTATTGTGTGTGTCATTTTCTTTTTATCAACTAGACAACAAGTAGATATTTCCGTATCTAGCTCTTTTGGATAATGTAATTAACCCTTGATTGATGCTTCATAATCCAATTTAGTGTTCATCTTCTAATTGTGTAATTTGCAATTAAAGTCATATAATTAATCAAGAGAGAATTGCTTCTCATTCAATGTGTTATTTGCACTCATTACTTTACGTTTTTGAATTCTTATATGCAAAATTGGAAAATTCCTCAAATTTATTCACAAATTATACTTTTATAGAGAAAAGATTATGAATTCACGAAATTATATTTAAGTTAAGTTTGCCAGACGCCCCTTTAAAAGGCCTCTAGAGTAGATTTTGATTAATAGAACATTTCTAATTATAAATTATATGAACTTTTAATTTTGAGGGATGATTAAAAGTTGAACATATTACATTTGCTATTAATAGGAGCTTTTCTCCCACAATGATGTGCAAGCATGCTGTCAATACCAAACATGATGATGGGGTGGTTTGGTAGCTGGTTAAAATTATACAAATATTAATTAGTTATATAAGTAGTATTAGTTATTTTATCATCTACTTTGCATAAGATAATACACTAATTCTCTCATAACTTATACAAGTATTATAAATTATACTGACTTCTAAATTACAAACCAAATGAAATGTCGTATTAATTTTATACATAATCGAATAACTTATTTTCTAACTAGCTACCAAATATATACTTAATATATAACTTATAAATAAATCAATAAATGAATATGTTGGTTTTTTACTAGCTACCAAGTGATTCCTAATATAATAGTCAAATTTAAATTACCAAAACATAATTAATTAGACTAAATATATACCAAATAAATATTTTTTTGGGTCTAGTGTTAAGTATAAATTTATATGAAAACCTACTAAAGAAAAAAAGAATTATGTTATGACGACGTAATTTTAAAATGATTACTGTCTTTAATAGCTTCATTAACGTTAAACACTGAGACAATTAAATTTTAAACAAATACAGAACGTACATTTATAGAAAAGTTCAAAGGTCAACTTGTGTTGCGTGGAAAAAAATGGCAGCAACAACTTGTTACTTATTAGGACCAAAAATAATGAAGAGGATGTATTTGATCACTCCCTCGATTTCTATTTTAGGTTTCATGTTCCTTAAGAAACTAGGTAAGTTTATCATTGTATCCTTATTTCTATCGAATGCAGGATAAAATAATTTTATATTTTATCTCGAACTTATAATATCTTAATTATCTTTTTAAGTTGTAGCCAAACGATCATAATTACCCTGACGACACTTCTTAATGAGTCAAGTCAATCCCATGTATTAATGTCTTATTCTAGCTTCACAAGTTGATTTCTTTTTAATTTTTGTCAATAGTGTACATTGAGGTAATTTTCTGCTGGAATCGTTCAACACCTCAAGCACGCAACACAACTTTATTGTTTACGTTTTAATTTTTTCGTCTTACTTTGATTTTTTTATCTTGATACTCCCTCTATTTCATTGTACTTGGCTCCTATGCCGAAAATAAATATTTCGTTTTATCTATTGGAGAATCTGATATTCAATTGACATTAAAAACTTTTCATACGGGAGGAAGTGCAGAAAAAGTGCAAGTCTCATCTAATGAAAAAATAAAATTCAATAAGGATTTGATTCATTCAATACATATACATACGTCATGGGCATCCCTGTCTTTTTATATTATATAGACTTGTATGTTGTATGTAACTATTAAGACACATTCTATATAGTGTGATTATTAAAAGTACGATTAAGAGAAGTTTATTATTTTCTTTTTATATTTACCCTTATCATTAAATAACTACATAAGTTTGATAGTTGATTAGAATTATACATATATTTGTTATGCAGGATTCTAATTAGCTACAAATATTGTATAGCGTATATATACATAATTTTAATAGATAAATATGTTGCTTCTTTACTTTTACTATCAAAAGATTCAAAATAGTCAAATTAAATTTTTTAAAGCATTATCAATAAGACTAATTTTTTGTAAAATAAATCCCTAATTAATAAATATTTTCTTGAGAAGGAGTGTGAAGTCAAGACATACTATATAAAGTAAAATAAACTGAGGGAGTTACTTACTTGGAGTTTGACTGAACCCATTCTTTTAGGTTCAAACGCTATAAAATATTCAAAACCACAATAGAAAACAATAAATTATGTTTTGACCGCGTAATAATTTTAAAGGATTGTTGTCTTTAATAGCTTCATTAACGTTAAACTCTGAGGTGTCGTTTAGTTGAGGATAAATTATTTCAGAATAATTAATTTTGAATAAGTTATTCCGATTTTACCATATGTATGGGATAACTTATCTCATTACTATATCAAAAATGGTGGGATAAATAATCTAAGGACTATCTAATATCTCCCAACCTAACACGGAAAAAAGAATTCTACATTTTATCATGAGATTATTATACCTTATACAATACTCCTTCCGTCCTCTTTTAGTTGTCATTGTTTCTTTTTTTAGAGTCAAACGATAAGAACTTTGACTAACATTTTACGATGTATTTTTTAACATATTGATATGCAAAAATTGCAATTTATAGTACTTTCGTATAATTTTTGAATATTTAAATTTTTCATTTAAAATATCAAATTAATATAGTTTAATTTAACTTTAAAAATTAATCAAATTAACTTTCGAAAACGTAACATGACAACTGAAAGGGGACGAAAGATCTTCGTACATGTTATAGAAAATTTCAAAGGTCAGCTTGTGTTGCGTGGAAAAATATGGCAGCAGCAACTTGTAATTTACTTATTAGGACAAAAAAAAATTTAATAGAATGTACGTTTGATTAGTAAATAAGTTTACTGAGTTTATAATATGTGGATTAAATAATTATAAGATTATTTGTGGATATATGTATATTTTATTTATTGAGTTTAGTTTGATAAATTGAAAATGAGATATGCAGGATATAATATTGCGGTGACTTTTGTTTAAACTAGATGGATAAAATTAAATAAATTTTAATCTTGACTTCCTCAAAAAACTTTTGAAATAAATTTTACATTTTATTTCAAAATTATAATACCTTAATTATCTTCGTAACCAGACGACCTTTAAGGATTTTTATTACCCTGACGACGCTTCTTAATGAGTCAAGTCAATTCCATGTATATTAATGTCTTATTGGATTACTGTCTTATTCTTGGTTAACAAGTTGATTTATTTTTGTTTTTTTGTCAATATATATTAAACATTTCATTTACATATTTTTTATTTTATTTTTTCACGTGATATTTAAAACTATGAGATTAAAGACATTTTGATACTTTCTCTGTTTCATTACTTGGCTCATATATAAAAAATAGATGTTTTATTTTCTTTAATTTGTCTATTTTAGCAAGTCAAGATAATTTTATTATTACTCCGTCCGTCCAACAATAGTTGTCCTCTATATTAAAAATAGTTGTCCAGTTTAGAAAATCAAGAGATAATTTACTATTTATATCTATTTTACCCCTGTTATTAAATACTAGTTACTCCCTCCATTCCTTTTTATATGTCATCCTTACTATAAATTGTTGGTTCATAATACTTGTCATTTCATAAAATCAATAATTACAATATTCTTCTTATTATACTCTTGATAGTTAATTAGTCTTGAAAATAAATATTTGACCAACCTAGGCAAACTAATAAGTAATTAATATTCATTGTAATTACTTCATACATTGATTAATTACTCTCACCATTGCATTACTCTATAATTATGATTTTGAAAAAGAAATTTCAACAAACAAATTAAAAATAAAAGATTAAATTATTTATCATTTATTGAAAAGTTGACTTCAATAAAATTTTAAATAAAGGTAGAATTGTAAACTTACTTAGTTTCTTAATGCAAGTGAAATCTAAAAATGTGACATATAAAAAAGAACGGGAGGGAGTATCATCGAGAAAAGGCCCAAAATAGTCACTCATCTTTGGATTAAGACTCAAGTCATCCTTGAGTTTTCACATGGAGTACTAATAGT